TTCACTACATTTTTCATACAAAGATTATACATTGCATACAATTCTTTGCATAAAGACTATAATCTAACCTTATTTTCACATTTTTCTATATTACAGACTATAATTCATACATTTTCAAATTTTCATATTTTTCACAAAGATTATAATTCACGCATTTTCACAGATTTTCATCTGCATCCATCCATTTTCACAAAATTTCACATTTTTTCATACAAAGACTATAATTAATGCATTTTCACAAATTTTCACATTTTTCCATGCCAAAGACTATAACTAACCCATTTTCATTCATTTTCACATTTTTCATACAAAGACTATAATTCACATGCATTTTTCTCAATTTTCATATTTTTTCACAAAAGATTATAATTCAATGCATTTTCACAGATTTTCATATTTTTTTTCATAGAAGACTATAATTCATCCATTTTCACAAATTTCACATTTTTTCATAATAAAGACTATAATAATGCATTTTCACAAATTTTCATTTTTTCAAACAAAGACTATCATTCACGCATTTCACAGATTTTCATATTTTTCATAAAAACACTAAAATTCATGCTATTTTCTTAAACTGTCACATTTTAATATTAAAGACTATAATTTTGCATCTAAATTTTCATATAGTTTTTTCAATAAAGATTATAATTCACGCATTTTCAAAAATTCACTTTTTTCATAATAAAGTGTAAAATTCAAGACTACAGTCTTTTTACATTTGTTTATACAAAGACTATAATTCTAGCATTTTCACAAATTTTACATTTTTTCATACAAAGACAATAATAAAACTATAAAAAAAATATAGTCTTTTGCATAAAAGTGTGTAAAAATGCAAAGATTATAGTCTTTTGCATAAAAGTGTGTAAAAATGCAAAAAACTATAGTCTTTTGCGTAAAAGTGTATAAAAATGCAAAGACTATAGTCTTTGCGTAAAAGTGTGTAAAAATGCAAAAACTATAGTCTTTTTTAAAAGTGTAAATGCAAGACTATAGTCTTTTAAAGTGTGTAAAAATGCAAACTATAGTCGTTTGCGTAAAAGTAAAATGAAGACTATAGTCTTGTGAAAGTTGAAAAATTAAAGACTATAGTCTTTGCGTGAAAGTGTGTAAAATGCAAAACTATAGTCTTTTGCGTAAAAGTGGTAAAATGAGACTATAGTCTTTGCATAAAAGTGAATGCAAAACTATAGTCTTTTGTAAAGTGTAAAATGCAAAGACTATAGTCTTTTTGAAAAAGTGTAAAATGCAAAGACTATAGTCTTTTGCGTAAAAGTGTGTAAAATGCAAAAACTATAGTCTTTTGCATAAAAGTGTGTAAAATGTAAAGACTATAGTCTTTTGCATAAAAGTGTGTAAAAATGCAAAGATAGTCGTCTTTTGTAAAAGTGTGTAAAATGCAAAACTATAGTCTTTTGCATGTGTAAAATGCAGACTATAGTCTTTGCGTAAAAGTGTGTAAAATGCAAAGACTATAGTCTTTTGTGTAAAAGTGTGTAAAAATGCAAAGACTATAGTCTTTTGCGTAAAAGTGTGTAAAAATGCAAAAACTATAGTCTTATGCATAAGAGTGTGAAAAAATGATAAAAACTATAGTCTCTTGCCTAAAAGTAAAAATGAGACTATAGTCTTTTGCGTGTAAAATGGACTATAGTCTTTAGAATAAAGTGTAAAAATGCAAAGACTATTGTCTTATGCGTAAAAGTATGTAAAAATGCAAAGTATATAGTCTTTTTGTAAAAGTGTGTAAAAATGCAAAGAGTATAGTCTTTTGCATAAAAGTGTGCAAAATGCAAAACTATAGTCTTTTGCGTAAAAGTGTGTAAAAATGCAAACCCTATAGTCTTTTGTGTAAAAGTGTGTAAAAATGCAAAGACTATAGTCTTATGCGTAAAAGTGTGTAAAAATGCAAAAACTATAGTCTTATAAAAGAGTGTGAACAAAGAACTATAGTCTCTTGCCTAAAAGTGTAAAATGCAAGACTATAGTCTTTTGCGTAAAAGGTAAAATGCAAAGACTATAGTCTTTTGGTAAAAGTGTGTAAAATGTAAAGACGATAGTCTTTTGCATAAAGTGTGCAAAATGCAAGACTATAGTCTTTGTGTGAAAAAGACTATAAAAATGCAAAACTATAGTCTTTGTAAAAGTGTAGAATGAAGAACTATAGTCTTTAGCATAAAGTGTAAAAAAAACTATAGTCTTTTGCATGTGTGTAAAATGCGACTATAGTCTTTTGCATTGAAGTAAAAAATGCAAAGACTATAGTCTTTTGCGTGTAAAAAATGCAAAACTAGTCTCTTTGCATAAAAGTGTGTAATCAAAGACTATAGTCTTTTATAAAAAGTGTAAATGCAAAAACTATAGTCTTTTGCATAAAGGTGGTAAAATCAAAGACTATAGTCTTTTGTAGTGTGTAAAATGCAAAACTATAGTCCTTTTGCGTAAAGAGTGTAAAAATGCAAAACTATAGTCTTTTGGTAAAAGTGTGAAAATGCAAAGACTATAGTCTTTTGCGTAAGTGTGAAACATAAAACTATAGTCTTTTGCATAAGAGTGTGAAATGCAAAACTATAGTCTTTTTAAAAGTGTAAAATGCAAAGACTATAGTCTTTTGCATAAAGTGTGTAAAATGCAAAGACTATAGTCTTTTAAGTTAAGTAAAATGCAAAGACTATTGTCTTAAAAGTGTAAAAAATTAAAACTATAGTCTTTGCAAAAGAAGATCTTTAGAAGGTGCAAAACTATAGTCTTTAAAATGAAACTATAGTCTTAAAAATGAAAAGAATGAAAATATAGTGGAATAAAATGGAAGTAAAATGGAAAGACTATAGTCTTGAATGGAATAAAATGCAAAACTATAGTCTTTTATGTGTAAAATGCAAAGACTATAGTCTTTTGATAAAAGTGTAAAAATGCAAAAACTATAGTCTTTGAAAGTAAAATGGAAAATGCAGACTATAGTCTTTTGTAAAAGTGTGTAAAATTGCAAAGACCATAGTCTTTTGCGTAAAAGCAAAACTATAGTCTTATAGTCTTGGTGTGAAAGAAAGACTATAGTCTTTTGTAAAAGTGTAAAAATGCAAAACTATAGTCTTTTTGTAAAAGTGTGTAAAATGCAAAGACTATAGTCTTTTGCATAAAAGTAAAATGCAAAACTATAGTCTTTTGCATAAAAGTGTAAAATGCAAAGACTATAGTCTTTTGCATAAAAGTGTAAAATGTAAAGACTATAGTCCTGGTAAAAGTGTAAAAATTCAAAGACTATATTCTTTAGTGTAAAAGTGTGTAAAAATGGAAAGACTATAGCCTTTTGGAAAAAAGTGTGTAAAATGCTAGACTATAGTCTTTCCGTGAAAGTGTGTAAAAATGCAAAACTATAGTCTTTTGCATAAAAGTGTGTCGAAATGCAAATATTATAGTCTTTTTCGTAAAAGTGTGTAAAAATGCAAAGACTATAGTCTTTTCTGTAAAAGTGTGTAAAAATGCAAAACTATAGTCTTTTGCGTAAAAGTGTGTAAAATAAAGACTATAGTCTTTGCGTAAAAGTTGAAAAATGCAAAGACTATAGTCTTTGTGTGTAAAAATGCAAAGACTATAGTCTTTTAAAGGTGGTAAAATGCAAAATATATAGTCTTTTTGTAAAAGTGTGTAAAAATGCAAAGAGTATAGTCTTTTGCATAAAAGTGTGTAAAATGCAAAACTATAGTCTTTTGCGTAAAAGTTTGTAAAAATGCAAACCCTATAGTCTTTTGTGTAAAAGTGTGTAAAAATGCAAAGACTATAGTCTTATGCGTAAAAGTGTGTAAAAATGCAAAAACTATAGTCTTATGCATAAGAGTGTGAAAAAATGATAAAAACTATAGTCTCTTGCCTAAAAGTGTGTAAAAATACATAGACTATAGTCTTTGCGTATGCGGTATGGAAAATAAAAAGACTATAGTCTTTGGTAAAAGTGAAAAAAAAACTATAGTCTTATGCATAAGAGTGTGAAAAAATGATAAAAACTATAGTCTCTTGCCTAAAAGTGTGTAAAAATACATAGACTATAGTCTTTTGCGTGAAAGCGTAGGAAAATGCAAAGACTATAGTCTTTTGTGTAAAAGTGTGTAAAAATGCAAAGACTATAGTCTTTTGCGTAAAAGTGTGTAAAAATGTGAAGACTATAGTCTTTTGCGTAAAAGTGTGTAAAAATGCGAAGACTATAGTCTTTTGCGTAAAAGTGTGTAAAATTGCAAAAACTATGGTCTTTTGCGTAATAGTGTGTAAAAAATCAAAGACTTAAATATGTGCTAATTGGTGGAATGCGTGATTCATAGTCTTTGAGGTGAAAGTTGGTGAAATTTGAGAATTATAGTCTTTGGTTTGAAAATTGGTGAAATGCGTGAATTATAGTCTTTGGTTTGAAAATATGTGAATTATAGTATTTGGTGTGAAAATGTGTGAATTATAGTCTTTGGTTCAAAAATAATTGAAATGCGTGAATTATAGTCTATGGTGTGAAAATTGGTGAAACGCGTGAATTACGGTCTTTGGTGTGAAAATGTGTGAATTATAGACTATAGTGTGAAAATGTGTGAATTATAATTTTTGGTTTGAAAGTGTGTGAATTATAGTTTTGGTGTGAAAATTGGTGAAATGCGTGAATTTTTGTCTGTGGTCTTAAAGCCTTCGTCGAGTTCTTTCCAATAAGGCAAAAATTATAGCCGTAACCTCAATACTTTAGGAGAAAGCACTGCGCATATGCAATGAGATTTTTCTTATATTCGTATGTCACGTTCTCAATACATGAAAAAAACATAAACGAGGAAAAGACACAAATTGTCAATTCAAACAACTTTACAATTCGTACATGTCTATATGTGTACGCATTCAGAACACTCTTGCTATAAAGTTTGTCTTTCATGGTTGCTCTTGAATCAACAAATGAATCAAAGCAATATTACAGAAAGCTCTCCCATAAAGCATCGCGTATTGTGTTTCAATCTTCGAAAGCAAGTTTCGTTTTGTTTTTCCAGATGATCACATGTTTAGCTTGCTGCCAGACATCGAGTAATGATATTGTTTAGATGATTTGGAAAACAAAAACATTCAACATCTGAAACAAATCTTGTTATAAAACTCAACAGAATGTAAGTCGGATTCACCTGCGTGAGAACATCAAAGCTGATATGACGATGCAAGAATTAAATGTTTCATTTTGTTGCAATAAAATACGCGTTTTGACATGTTGATCACGCCATACATCGAAAAAATTCATAGCTTGTTAACTATCTCCGTGTTTATCTGTTTCTTCTTTAACTATCATCAAGTCACTTCTTTTCATTCATTACACAGTTTGTGACGATGGCTAATTCAATGAGCTCAGCATTGATGATAATTTCAACGATATTGAAGGCATTGCAAATTGTAAGATGTAAAAATTATTTTCCTTATTATACATTTAATATACATAATATTAACATACGTTTCTTATGTTGTATGTAGGATACATAATATTAACATACGTTTCTTATGTTGCATATAGCATACAGTGCTGCTCAGAAGTAAGTTTACCTAAAACGCGCTCCTAACTCGTTCCAAAATGTCTTCCAAATGCGTTCCAGTTGCGTTCCAATTGCGTTCGGCTGAAGATGGAACGCGTATCAAAACGCGTTGTTGGCCGCATCTGATCATTGATCGGTAATCATCATTTATACTCGCTATACAAGGGTTTAATTTCGGAAATTTCCATGTTATACCGAGTTCATTTGAACAATCGGGGTCGCGTTCAGACCGTGTTCAAAAATTTTTTTGAAACGCGTTCGAAACGCAAATGGAACGAGAACGCAGTGCTAAGTTACTTCTGAGCAGTACTGCACATAATATTAACATACGTTCCTTATGTTGTATGTAGCATACATAATATTAACATACGTTCCTTATGTTGTATGTAGCATACATAATATTAACATACGTTCCTTATGTTGTATGTAGCATACATAATATTAACATACGTTCCTTATGTTGTATGTAGCATTCATAATATTAACATACGTTCCTTATGTTGTATGTAGCATACATAAAGTTAATATACGTTCCTTGTGGTACATATAATGTTAATTGTTATAAACATATTGCTATTCTTGTATTCCAGTTAGAAAAAACACTAACAACTTTCAACTTTCCCAGGCAGCACTGGCAGTTGGAAGTGGTTTTGTCGGTAAATTTTACAAGGAATTTTATGATTATTTCCCACAAAACGTAATTAAAGTCGACTACTTCAGACACTATGGTAGATACGAAATATACCTCAATGCAGCTGGTCTTGGAGTGGTAATTGTCTTTATTGGTTTAGTCTTTGCCTGCACACGCTTGCAATGCAAAAAACATGGTGCTTTTGGAGTAAGTCCATCACACTTGTCTATAATTTCAAAATAAATGCATACAATGATCAATCTAACAAGTAATGAAACGCATTTTTTGCACTCTTTCATTTTAGTTGTTACTTTTACAAGTCATTGGAGCTATTGAGTTGGTGTTTGCTTCCACCTTGCTGTACAAAGTATTAGAATCATATCAAGAACACCAACATTTGCTTTTCATAAGTATGCCATCATGGTGTGATTTTTGCGAGAAAACAGATCAAGACTTTCAATGCTATCAACTGACCATTGGCATGGTAAGCATGAACTTAAAAGTACAGAATATATCAACAGGAACAGTAGCTTACCCTGTATATCAAAGGTGTAGAACCCACAACCTTGTAAAATAACCTGTCCATAAGTGATATAATCCCCCCAACATAGCCAAAATATCGGTCCAGTCATTGGGGTCAAAATAAGTAGGTTTAGCTATGTGGGTTTTTCTTTTACAAATAAAAACTCTACAAAAGTCTCATAAGGTAGAATACCCTAGCTTTTTGGGAATTGGTCTCCTGCTCAACAAGTGGTAAGTAAAGAAATTATAAGTAACAATACCGATGTCATGATGTTTATTTTTCCCCCTTTTAGATTTGTGGTTTCAGTGGAGCTGGATTGTTTCTACTTGATGCTTTGTTCTCCTTTATTGCTTACAAAAGATCATAGCTTATTACATCTCAAACATAAAAATTACATTGTTAAATTTGGAAACAATACATATTTATGATTTATACATTACTATATATGCTTCTTGTGGGGTAGTTTGACTTGGAAAAAGGATATTGGTATGATTACTTAAAACAATTCTTAAATCTACAATGATATATCTAAATACTTTTATACATAACAAGAAAAATGCTGATATGATATTTCACTTCTTTAGCATGAGATGGTCAAATTTTATGGCATTCAACAGCTGCTACAGGCATACAGCTCTTGAAAAATGCCATAACAGGGCAGGTCTTGATATTGTACCTCAATTATTATACATTATATATTGCCGTTTTTTTTATATTTCGTCATAATATGATGATTGTCTGATGGTGGCTTTATAATTATTACAGAGAATATTGCATGTATGGCACACAGCCCTAACATGACATAAGTCCATGACCAATTTCTAAATTTCAAATTTTCTGAAAAAGAAAGTAAACCTTTTAATTCCAAAAAATAAGCATTCGCAAAGACAAGCGTAAGTGGTATTTTCATAATTTGTAATGAAATATTAACCAAATTCAGTCGTGTTTGAAATTGTATTTAATGTTTAAGAAGTTAAGTTTCCACTTTCGGTTTTCCATCGTCAGTTTCATTATTTCAATTTAATTGAAAAATACTGTCAATATAACAAAAAGATCATTTTAAGTTTGCTATACTGTCGGTTTAAACGCAGCAGCATATTGGATTGCCTCGAATTTTTTTGGATTTAACAAAATGTAAAAAATTCAAATTTTCCGCCATGTTTTTATCACTCAAGAAGACCATCACGTGACAAGCAGATAAATGGCTACAATGCTACAATGAGGAGGTATTGCATAGCACTGTATACTCATATGTTGAAGTCAACAACAACAAAAACAGTCCTTCTCAGGACTTTATTAACCTGGACGATCATCAATTACAAACATATAACGATACTCCCAGGTTCAAACCATTTACTCATTGGTATCTTAACAAAATGTCTGATGTCGTGTATGAGTGTATTTTAAAATTAAATGTCAATTTATGGATGAACCATTTTTTGTAACTAATCCACCTTAAATGAAAGAGATCAACATTTACTAACAGGTTAAGATAACACCAATGTTAAGATAAATATAGATATAGTGCATTCCATAAAATCTAACACTTGATATAAATTCCCTAGAAAAACGTTAAATATAATGTTGTATAATAGGTAAAAAATGCTATTTAAAAAAGTAATCCTTTACCTTTATTGCCAATACACCGTAAAAATCCTCACACTCTGTATTTGTAAGAATTCATAATTTAGATGTATGAAACACCATTTATTTTTTCAAAAGTATATATTGAATAAATATATTATGTAGGTATTCATAATTCAATCATAATATAAAAAGATAATTAATTATTTACAAATGAAAATAATTTGAAACATAAAACTCCTATACAAATATTGTATCCCTTTGTTTGAGGATAAAGTGTAAAGAGTGAATTGTTCTTTGAAATGTTTTTAGAGCAGTTTCCCAAAAACAAAGTATATATTTGGTATAATTATCACTAACTATATATAATATGAGATAAAGCTATGAAATAACTAAGATAAGGTTAGCAATTATGCACCTTGTAAACTTGTAGAAGTGAGAGGATTTTTCCAACATGGCCAAGACCTGCGACAGCAAGCAACCACAAGACAAAACAAAAGAACCAAAAATCCAATCCCCAAAATGACCGGCAGACCAATTACAAGACCATAATTAATTTCTGATTTTTCTTCTTTTTCAGATTTAGACACTATAGAAAAAAGCAATTGCAAAGACTTAGGATTAAATGGTACAAAACATTTTCCATCAGCAGCATTTATTTAAGATTGAAACTACATGTCAATTATCTTGTAAAAGGCCATAATTGTGCACACAACAGCAATCTATTCGAGAAGTAATGGGTGTACAAAAAAGGTTAAACTTTACATATGAGTAGCATAAATATTTTGCACCCTACTATGAGTGTTAATTCTTGATACTTCTTGAGTTGAAATTTGCACTATATTGATTCCTAAATAGGCAAGATTTGGAGCATCATAGAAATATTTTTGTACATAATATAATTTACGAGTACTACTTACTGGAACTGCACGCCAGCCTACACCGTTCTTTGTCTGAAATAGTCTGATTCGTGCATTTTCCATCACATTGCACACACTCAGCAGTATTGTTACTGTAATAACTACCGTCTGGACACGAATGAACAGCCGCCATGGCTGACAAATCAATCGAAAGTACCCATAAAAACGAAACGAGATAAAGAATACTCATATCTCTGTCTTTTTTATGCGCGGAGCAAGCAAACATAAAATTCACTTATATTTTTGCCGACATGAAGCTTTGTCATGCTGTTTCATGATGGTGCAATTTGTTAATTTCCTGTTCTTGTTATCGGAAATTTTTGTATATTAAATTTACATTTCAGAAATATTTTCAAGTCGGGGGTGGGTGGTGGGAGAGTACGGAGGCTGTGGGGAATCCTTGATCTGAGATAAATACACAAGTAATACAACTCTACAACAGTAAAAGTGAAGAAACTTTTTCATACATGCATTAAATATCTTCATAACCGTAGTGATAAAGCCTTCTTATATCTTCATAAAATATTTTTACAACTGAACCGTTAAAGTGAAAAAGCTTTTTCATATGTTTGTTATCTTTCTTTATCGCCGTCCATTTTTTGAGTCACCCCAGTCCGGCTGTTTTTGAGTTTTCTTGCAAAGGAAGTATTGAATTGTATCTATTACTGACAAGGTTAATAAGCGCATCTCTTCCATTTTCTTGACGAGCAAATGTTTTATCACTAAAAATCACAATCGACAATTTATCGTCCAGCATGAAAGTCAAACGTTTGCAAAAGCAATAGGAAACAACTCCTATCTTACTCAATTTTACACTTAAAGTTCTAAGATGATGGTCGTATGAAAAAATGGCAAAAATTCACAAAATTTATAACAACTTTATGGAAGTCCATACTACAATTCTCTTCTAATAATTATGCAATAATATTTTTGACATATACCGTGGATCCATAACTGTTTTCTGGCTCTTAGCTTCCATACAACTCTTGACATCTACACTTATCTTAGTGCTCGCTTCCTGTTTTGCGCACGGCATCCATCCGCAAAAATAAGCAACAAATATCAGACACACAACGACCACCACCAGACCTCCTACACAACTGAGCCCAACCACGAGAGCGTAGTTGCTCGTTGAATTTTTTTTTGATGGTAATGGCAACAATGAAGGTTGCTTTATGGAGCCATTAGTTATCGGCAAAGATGTTGATGAAGCCAAGGTAGAAGTAGAAGCCGGCGTCGTTAGATTTGTCTCTGTATAATAAAGATGTCATTACATATAGAATACAGATTCTCGTTGAACACAAAAAACACAAAAAAATGTTTGAGTGAAACATGCTACTTAAGACGTTTTGACAGCTGCTTTGCCGACTGCTTTCTGACAGTCGGTTAACTGATGGCAGGAGGATCTTTTGAGTAATTTTTAGTCTCCTAATCGCATCGCATCACTCACAATAGAACGATGGGTGGGCAATTAAAAGAAAATATAAAACGAAAAAAAGCAAAGACTATCATCACCGGAGTTTAGAGCAACTGATTCTGATTGTTCGATGAATGGACTGAGACGATGATAAAGACCTTAGTAAATATATGAAACTTTCTTCTGAAGAAGGCTGGTAGCACCAAGTTGAAAGCTCGATAAAATCAATAATTTCGACCAAGAGAAACCTCTATAATTTGATCAACATGCTTGCATTACCAGTATTCAAACATATATGTATACAATAAATTATATTAGAAAAGGGTCATTACAACGAAAAACATGCTATTAAAACAATAGTTTCGTTAAAAAACTTGTAAAATGACAGAGCACTTTCCAAATCAGTTTAATCATATCTCTTTGCGTTCGCAAGATATTGATGTTTTGTTGTGCTCAATTTATAGAGAAAGTGTACAATGAGTTGCTGCAAATGTATAAATATCCTTTCGCCTCATGCCAACTTTTAATTGCAATATCAATACAGAGTTCTACACCATAATCACTTTAAATCGATAGGAATTTTATCCGTTTGAAGTAACATGATGGATGCAACAAATAAGCAAAAGTTTGTAAATTCAAATTCTCATTCTGTATAAAATGTGACGTCATGAAACTTAAATATCTTGAGAATTAAATGAGATAAAAGAGACATGACTTAACTGTTTTAGAAGGTCCACTGTCATTTTACGAGTTCTTTTCAACGAAACTATAATTTTACTAGCAACTTTTTCGCTATATTGGCCCTTTAATTGTTTACCACAACTATGCACTCTAGCAATGAATAAAATCTTAGTAGACAAAAGTTGTTTTATTCATATCATTATACGCTTCATTTCGTTATCGAGGGCCTTTTCAAATATTGTTTTGTTTCTTGTTGTATAAATAATGTTTATAAAGGGCAATATTGCAATATAAACATAAAACATTTTTGTCAATCAAATGTCAAAGGTACAATGAAATGAATAAACGTTATGACTTAAGTTCTATAGCACGCAGAGTGGCAATGATAAAGCATTTTTGTCAACCAAATGTCAAAGGTACAATGAAATGAATGAACTGTATGACTAAAGTTCTATAGCACACAGAGTGGCAATGATAAAGCATTTTTGTCAATCAAATGTCAAAGGTACAATGAAATGAATGAACGTTATAACTTAAGTTCTATAGCACGCAGAGTGGCAATGATAAAACATTTTTGTCAATCAAATGTCAAAGGTACAATGAAATGAATGAACGTTATGACTTAAGTTCTAAAGCACACAGAGTGGCAATAAAAATTTTTGAAAAACTGAGGTTTACTTTAGTGCGTGCCAGCGTGTAAAATATCACACAAAAAGATGCCAAGATTTCCGCTGTCTACCGTACACTGTCTGGCATTTTGATGACTTAAGCTATTTTGTCAATTGCGTAGTGAATGAAAATATTTATAAAATAATCGCATCTGCCTATTCGAAAGAAAGTATAGGTGATAAATTGAAAAGGTATTTGATGTTTATGTTATCAAACATCAGCAAGAATATCATAAACAAATACAATACCCTTAAACTGCCATATCAAGAATTCATTAAAACACACGAGGAATAAAAAAATTTACTCAATTTTATATACAGTTGCAGTGATTACCATTTCGTAAATAAAGTAAATGGTTTGAAGAGTAGCGTTACATGTTTGTAGATGTAGATCGTCCAGGTTAGTAGAGTCCCGAGAAGGACTATTGTTGTTGATGTAGACTAACGTTTCGACAACCTTAGCGGTAGTCATCTTCAGAATCAAAACTACCAAAAATTACCATTTCCATAGCAATGATTTAACGAAAATTCTAGAAGTTGATTTAAACAAAAAATTTTACTAACCGCATTTCATTCGGCATCTTTCTTTGTCGTCTTCAAACTGATCAGAACATTTTCCTTTGCATTTAACACAACCAGAAGTATCCACACTGTAATAGAAGCCATCTGGGCATGCTATAGCGACACATACGAAAACGCTATAAAAGAAAATACTAAGACAAAAATTTAGTTCCATCGCTGCCAAAGAACAAAGTGAAATGCGTTTCACAACAACAAACACACGAATATTATTTAGAGATTTCCGGTGTTCCATGTGTAATTGCCAATGATTAACATTCTTGTCTGGTTAAAATAGATGGTTCAGACAGGTTTTATGCAATTGGGAGAAGATCAAAACGTGAGAGTTCGCGTGCCGATGAGTTAATAACGTGTTAAATAACGTTATAAATTGCCACGTGCGAAGCAATTTCGACGCAATTGTCAAGTCTATATGAAGTATTTCTTCTGATGAATAAAGGTGAAATAACAGAAAAAACTTTGGATATTGCGTTTTTGCAATAAACTAACTACACCCTGTACTTTCATATTCACAGACAATCATTACTGTACAGCATTAAACTTTAGTAATTATACATTAAATAGTAAATATAACAAAACGTCTGTCTTCGGCCTTTTAAGTGAATTCAATAAATAAGTTAAAAGTCAGGGCAGATTTGAAAAACACCAAACCTTGTCTGGATACAAGCAAACACAAAACAAAACAAAACAAAAGAACCAAAAATCCAATTGACCAAAGTGACTGGTACACCAATTCACAAGACCACAATAAAATTTCGATTTTTCTTTTTACTGACTTTGACACTGTAAAATAAAAGAAAGACGCATTGTAGGCATGACATTGACCTATATAGCGATAACATGAAAGTCTAACGTAACAATTGTAATGACTTTGGACGGTAAGTGTAGTAAACTTTTAACAAAAATCAAATCTTATGAAGATAAAACATAGAGACGTCTCGTAGCAATAATTCTTTCCTCTATTTTATCATTATTATGGCAATTCATTTACTTGTTATAAGCTTGTTTTTTATATTTTTATAATAACATTACGTTTCCCACTTAGAAAATCTTCAGCCACGGGTTTCTTGAACAGCCAAATATAGAACTAAAATGATACATAAAAGCATACAGGAATTCATGATTATTTCTTTACCTTAAACTTCTCCCCAGTCCTTCTCCCACTTTCTCATTATTCAGAGTTTTCATTTTCTTCTTGTCTTGCCCGAACAAGTCTGTGTTTTTCATTTTGCTCTTCTTGAGCAACAGGTCTGTTCACTCTAATTTCTTCATCACCATGAGGTGTAGAACTGCTTTCTCTAAACATACAATACGACTTAACAATGAGTTTAACTTCATGCTCTTCTTCATAGTTTACCTTGGTACAGGTCTGTTCACTCTAATTTCTTCATCACCATGAGGTGTAGAACTGCTTTCTCTAAACATACAATACGACTTAACAATGAGTTGAACTTCATGCTCTTCTTCATAGTTTACCTTGGTACAGGCTGAGACACCATGGCCATTTCGTATTCCCCCGAAGTAATAACCGTTCTTGAGCACAAGCGACTGTAGTACGCAATAGCTAAGATAGCCACGATCAAAACGAGACCTATTCCTAAACTTAGGCCAAGCACGAGTCCTAAGTTGTTCTTTGCGTTTTCCTTCGAAGGTGCCATGGTTGAAATGAGTTGATACGAAGACGAAATTGTCGGAGTAAAAGAAGTTGGAGTGGGGGCACTGGATGATGTTCTTTCTGTTCAATTAAAAAAAAACTTACATAAAATACAAGAACAATCCTACAAATTATATATATGAACAGATTATTTCATAATTTTTCCCTCCCCGTGGCATGATGCCAATGTTAATTTTTTTGCTGAATAGAAAATTTTATTCCACTCATCGAAAACGAGTAAATAACTCTGGAACATAGTTAACAGTAAAAATCAGAAGTAGATTTGAATGTCTAGAAATATGAAGGAATGTCAAGATTTCAGGCAATTTATGAAATAGAGTTTGGATAATTATCAAGTTTATTCATCGTGCATATGTAAGAATAACAGTGAGCATTATCACACTTGAGGTTCGCTAATAGAATGTAAATAATAGAAATGGAAATTTCAAAATATTAATTGTAAATTCAACTTTCTTTCACATAATCCTTTCATATAACTTACGAGACAAAACTTTACAGCTCGCCCCATTTCATTTCATGCGTCTACAGTTTTACCGTATGAGCCAGTTTCCGTTTAATACACAAAGTTGTAAAAGTAAATGGTAAAAGAATGAAAATTGTACATACCACATGCCTTTTACAACTTGCTTTGTCTTCTTCGTGTTGATCATCACATTTACCTTTACATTTCACGCAACCTCCTGCATCGACGCTTTCATAAGATCCTTCTTCACACGGTTTGGAAGAAATCACGACAGCCATGACCATCCATATAAAGATTGTATACTTCATTATGGAACAAACATCAATAAATACTTCGCATATCTCAAAGTGATCAACGATATAGTTGAGATTTTATTCCAAACCGTTGTCACTTCGTCGATGCCACCTGTCTTAAACAGACGAATATTATTAGTTTCTCGTATAAATATGCCAATCGATTGATTATAACCTCTTCTTGAGGACTTTGATCTACGAAATATCCGTTCAAACTACAATTGCCGACTCAGCACATTCACACAATACTCCGCAAAACCATTTCCTGTGGCATAAAATGACACAGTTGGTGTTCAAAGTTTTCGAACACTTGAGTATATCTTGGCATATATCAGCTCCTAAAAACGAAAAATATAGACTAAGAAACAAACATGAAAATAAAGTTATTACAAGAATCAAATTTCAGTAGAACTGAAATAAAATATCACAATTTCTTGTACTTAGGCCGCCTTAAAACGTGGCAACATTCTTTTAACATTATACTATTAATTATCTGATAGTTGTCATGACGATCGTTTAAACGCAAATATTTTGAATTCGAATAGTTCGATCAACGAAATAATGGTGTTTGGTGCAAAAGCGGTCATAAAAACAGACAATTTGGTTGGACATGATCAAATTTGGTAAGTCTAATGTATTTCACAACACAGTCGTACGTTTGTGTGGTTATAAAGTTTCACATGAAGTCGTGATATAAACATGTAGGAAAGATCATGTGGTAAACGAAACACGAGCAGCGAAACTATGGCCTGAAAATTGGGGATTCTTGATAAAAGAATATAAGAAGGTAACAAAACGCAAACATTATTATAAAATATAGCTGTTTAAATAATCGCTAGCATTTGTAAATAAACGTGGAATAAGCAAAAACGAAACGTTTATGTAATTCGAAACAGATATGCAACGAAGATGAAAATTTAACCCAAGGGGCAGCGTCAGTCAAAGTAAAACAACGACGTGAAAAGTTAAAACTCCCTCCAATTGACAATGTCAGACAACTGGGGTGGGTAGTTCTACGAGAAGCTTCCCAAAAACAAGTAGTGGTCAAATTGGCTGGAGATCAACTCAACCTCAATGCAGACTTGAAAGATATGGTCGCTATACAAAACCTGTTCCGGGTATTCTCAGATCTTTAAACTGGCCACCAGAGTCGGTCGATTGAAAATAACATCCATATAGAACACTAAAAAGATAGTTAAGAGTAATTTTTAGTCTTGCACATGTTGACCATATAAATATCTACATTTTTATACTTACAGTAAACATGTATACCAGGTCGACATTGCATTAAAATATACAAACACATCGAAATAGATCTTTTGATGATATTTGAATAGATATTTTTGTACTGATTTTTTTTTGCAAATCCATAAATTATTTTCCTAAATTTTGTACGTTTATACAATAAATACATGGCAGATGATGCAGCAAAGTTTGAAAACGTCGACATCTACAATGACGATACTATCATTTTAAGTTTCTTGGGAATCATATATCTCCCTAACTTCCACTTTCGCTTTTACAAACTGCATATTTCCGGTAATTATAATAATAATAATGATCTACACACTGTTTCCACGCAACGTTACTGCGAGCGTGTGCTGAGATGATTCCAAATTTTCAAATATCACCTTGGATTCATAATACTTGCCGGCCTGTTGTGGTGAAAAATAAGCGGGAATCTTCATATAAAACGATGGTCTAGAAAACAGATAAAAATAAGAACAATAACCGCAAGGTAGGTAGTCACGCTAATGCACTCCCCATAACTGAACAGTCGTAATTTGCAATACATATGAAAAACTCACTTTGACTTTAAAGTCGTCGATTTTAGGTAGAATGGAAGAGATGGTTGTGTTATCCTAAACTATAATAGGATAAGGTAGGATAAGATAGGATATAATAGGATGGCATGATATTGTACAAGGATAAATATCGCCATATGGTCGACGATTTAAAAAGAAAAGATACTAATAAACACAAGTCCATACTTGGTGGATATTTGATGATTTATTGCAAAGTTTCAACTCCGCTACACTAGTTTGTCCGACAGCTGTGTCAGGGAACTTGATACTCTCCCATCGAAAATAAAGTTTCGGCTTTCCATTATCGGATGTCTTGCTACAAAGATAAAAACAACAGAGGTTTAATAAGTCGATTAAGAGTTTTAATCGCCAAACACCAAAGGGAAAAAATGAACAGTAAAACATCTACATATTAGCATTAACTGATCTTCCTTACACGTCTTTGGATGGTATCTCTGGTAAAGAGCCTCGCTTCGACACCAGTGCAACATTTGACCTTTTTTCCTTGTCCTTTTCGACTTTTCCTAGTATTTTTTTCTTTATTACAGCCTACAAAATTTTCATATGATATACCTCGTGTCAATACCTTTCATGACATACTAGGCATCTTTAGCTATCATAGAATAAATCTTTATTTATGAATAAGTTCAAGTCAACGGAATATTTAATGTGAGGATGAACTAGAAGACATTAAACTGAGAATTACCTTTCCCGATAACTCAAATTTGATTTTCGTTGATGTCAAAGGACTTTCTGGGTTCGTCTAAAAAAACCCCATATAAATAAACAATAAACGACTATCTCAAGATTTGCAGAATAATCTTAAGTCTCCTGTTTCCGATGTTAGCGGAAGTAATCTAATGCTGTCTTTCTCCAAAATTATCAGAAGTAATCTAACGACGTCTGTCTTCAATGTAAACAAATGTATTGAAATGTTGTCTTTCTCCAGAGCTTTCAAAAGTAGTAATGTTGATAAAAACATTACCTAGCAATGTCTTCAATGTAAACAAATGTAGCGTAACGTTGTCTTTGTCCAGAGATTTCAAAAGTAATAATGTTGACAAAAACATTACCTGGCAATGTCTTCAATGTAAACAAATGTAGTGTAACGTTGTCTTTCTCCAGAGCTTTAAAAAGTAATAATGTTGATAAAAACATTACCTGGCAATCCCATATTTGACAATAATCACCAGCATCTCTAGCACGAAACTCGATGTCAACCTGGAAAACCATGACGACATACATAGATCATTTATAAATTCAACAGAGCAGTGTTATCTATCAAATGTATATTGTGAATATGTTTGACCCACCTTCACTATCTGATTTGGTCGTATAAAGCCACTTTGTACGGAAAAATTAAACACTGGATAGTTGGCACGAAGCAATTCTTCGTCTGTGCCAGACATCTAACATCAAAGAAAAAGATTTTAAACGTTTTGTGATACAACTATACTATGAAATGAGAACACACCTTGGCATAAGCCGGTGCAAACGAAGATATTTTCCATCTTAGAGACGAAGCCGAGATATTTTCAATCGTAACGGATGAAACTAAAAAAACATTGGATGATCAACAACCATAATAAAGAAAAATAAACCACGCAAAGAAAGATTTTGTCTCAATTTAGCATTTCTAATGGCAAAAATTTACACCCAGATGAGCTCAAGTCAAATCCAGTAAGCGTTACTGAGGTATTAATGGAAATTTAAGTAAACAGTAAAACTGTAATAAGAATATTTGTTTCGTATATAATTCTTCTGCATGCGTTCGTTCTGCTTTGAACTGTAAAATTAGACGAAATGGGCAATCGCTTCTTAAAAAGGCATGTAGATTTAAATTTCAAAGCTTCATTATAGTATTGTACAAATAGAAGAAAAATACTCACAAGAGGCTTTATTGACTTCAACTTCTGCAAAATCAATGAGAGTCGGCGTTATGCTCAATAGCTGGACCTGTTTCATGGGCTTTACAAACGCAGTGCAAGTTTGTGATAATCTCGAAGATTTTCGATCTTCTCTCGACTGCATCTCTATGGTCAGCGGTTTATTTATAACACTTGGAGCAGGAGAGTTATCGTTGACGAGAGTATTGTGAATTTGGATAGCTATGGCCTGTTGTTTAATGTGATAAAACATTAACAGTTAAAAAATAGGGGGAAAAGAAGAAAGAGATAAATGCGGTGAGAGCAAAGACAGGAGAGAAGAGAGAGAACATTGAATGGAAATAAAAGACAGAGAGAGAACATTGAATGGTAAAGATGAAAGTGGAGAGAAAGAAGGAGAAGAGAGGAAGAGAAAGAAAAGAGAGAATGAAAAGATGAAAGAAAGAAGGAAAGATGAAAGTGAGAGAAGACAGAGAGAAGGAGAAAAAAGATGAAAGTGGTGAGAAAGACAGGAGAGAAGAGAGAGAACATTGAATGGTAAAGATGAAAGTGGTGAGAGCAAAGACAGGAGAGAAGAGAGAGAACATTGAATGGTAAAGATGCCAGAAGAAAAAGATAAGATAGTGAATGGAATAAGGGAAAAGAAAAGAAAGACAAATAGAAAAAAAACATTGAAAACGTTTAAATGTATTTTCACCTTTTTAATTCCATCACAGTTAACGTAGGCTGTACCAGACCACGGTAAAATGACACCGGACTTCAAAATGGTTGCCCAGGCACTAATATTGATGATACTTTGACTCCTAAAAGATTATATCATGAAACATAGATATGGCAACATATAAGTATTCAGTGCCGTAGCCAGGCGCAAGTTTCGATCCTGCTATGCATATTGTAGACCATTGTCTTTGTCATTTCTTTGGAAATAAATTGTTGCTACAACGAGTGAACACAGAAAAATTTGCAAAGCAAAACCAAAATTTCCAGGCTGACTACGCCACAGCAAATATTACAAAAATTGAAGTATACTTGGGTGGAATTGTTCCAGCGTGTGGTGTTACAGCAACACAATGAGCAGGCCAAATGAACTCGAAGCTATGTTACGAGAACAATAAATTAAAACACAAAACAAAATCGTCTTCACTAGATGCTATGTTTTCCTTAAATATGCTTACTCCAGAGGTCTTTCTGAGAAGTTGAGCAATTGAATTTTCTTTGTAGAATCGGTTGAAGCTGTCGCGGAAAAGAAGAAAATTCAAAGTGGAAGTTGTTCATGAAACTGGTTAATACGTCTAAGTCCTATGTCACCTGAACTGTTAACTTGTAAGCTCAGTTGCTCCGGTATCAATGACCACGCATTAGTTTCCACCTTACCTATATATAAAAACAGCGATTGTTTTAAACATGTGAAGGAATCATTAGAAAAATGTGTTGAAAGTCAAAAATTAAATATCGAAAAACATATTTTTAGGATAAGGACGAAAAATTAGTAGAAAACGAAGCACTTGCTGGTTGTTTTCTTTATCTCTGCTGTTTTCAAATTTTTATTAGCAACACTAGCCCCAGTCTCCGGCTCGATGTCACGTTTTCGTGGAGTAGCCATGACAACACCATCGGTTAAATTATCCATCCCTTGTTTTTCCTCCCCACCAAAGAGATGAATGAACGTTTGTGAGATATGACTATCAAATATTTGCTCAGAGTTCTCCAAATCGGGAAAATTGATATCTAGAATTAAATATAACGAAATTAATAGAAAAATACAAAAATACGAACACCTCTGAGAAATCATTAAAAAAGTTCAATTCTAGTAAAGTTATGTATTTTACGGCAAACCTTCGGCGATACAATTTTCGTCTTGAAAAATTTTATCAAACTGAATGTCGTCATGTTTTAAAAAATTCTCTGAACCTCTTCCACCAAATTCCGGTTGCGATTTCCCATTCCTGTGATGAATGCAATACAAAAAACTCATTGTAATACAAATATAAAGAGTAATATTATCGATGTAAACATAACATTTATAACAACTTGCCTCCTGAACCAGCGTCTTAAAACTTCATCTCCGTGATAAAAGAGGATATCCGCGACTCTTTTCATCTTCTGCTGACACGCTACAGCATCGTGTTGTAATGGCTGATACACCAGTACTAGCTCCTGTAAAAGATGCTTGTAGATATTATAACAATGAGATCATAGTCTTACTACTGGTCGTAGAATGACATCTTTCCTGTGAGAGACAGTGACGTAGCTGGCCTTGATAATTTGGGGAGAGAGGCAATATTCATATATACGTAAATATTATAATCCACAGAAAACAATTGATTTCAAAGGAACTTAATAGGACAAAACATAAATATATGAATATTACCACCCACCCCCCCAACAATTATCGAGCTGGCTACACTACTGGTGAGAGACATGAAAATAAATAGTAGCATGTTTGTAAATGTAGATCGTCCAGGTTAGTATAGTCCTGAGAAGGACTGTTCTTGTTGTTGTTGACTGACGTTTCGACAACCTTAGCGGTAGTCATCTTCAAAGTCAAATGAGGAGTAAACGTCAGGTTAGCCGTGTTTGTTATCGGTTCTTAACATGTAACGATACTCCCGAGTTCAAACCATTTACTTTAATAAATAGTAGATTAAAATGGCTAAAAAGATCAGAATAGCAAATCTAACGGTTGATGGCATAACCTACTTTTGAGGATCTCTCTGGCAGTACAAACTCACTGGGTACAATACTGAGATGAGTTTGATCGTAACGCAGGCGGATTTGAAAATCTATTTCAAATGGAAAACAAATGAAAGTCAAACCACAAAAAAAACACAAGCGAAAGTCAAAGCCTCTCTTATGTAGAGTGATTTTTATCTTATCAGAAAACACAAAAAGTAAACAAAATAATTGTTCAAGAAAAGCTAATGTTCCTATAACCGTCCTTCCCATCACACATAACAACATACCCTAACTTCACGTTTAAAACACCGTGAGCTAGCAGCATTATCAATGTATATTTTCTACTAAACACATAAACATCTTAAAACACACTACAAAAAACAAATCTCTTCTCACCCTCACCTGCGTAAGGAACAGCCTTAATAAAAGCAGCTCTACAACCAGTGTTTTTCACAGTTAATTTCAAGATGTTACGACGACCAAGTGAGACCTACATAAAATAATGACATACAGTCAGGAGAGAATATGAGTTAATCTCCGTTTCAAACATAATTTGCAGTGCATATTTGTACACGTACCTCTCCCAAAAAAGCATCGTAGCCATTTGATGAAGTTTTTAGATTCAAAAAATTAAGAGCACTTCGACCCCCATATGCATATAAAGGAACCTAACAAAAATGTTCACCACAAAAAATTTTATGTTTGCTCTGGGGTCTTTGAAACTAGGATAGTTGAGAGTTGCCCAGGAAGCAAAGCAAGTCAAACCAGTTTGATGTAAAATATAGAACATGTTAACAAGATATGTGTGAATAGACAGTGGCAGTTTGATGTAAGTATCCTATACATGTTTTCATTAAAACTATGCAAAGCAAGTCAAACCAGTTTGATGTAAAATATAGAACATGTTAACAAGATATGTGTGAATAGACAGTGGCAGCTTGATGTAAGTATCCTATACATGTTTTCATCAAAACTATACAAAGCAAGTCAAACCAGTTTCATGTAAAATATAGAACATGTCAACAAGATATGTGTGAATAGACAGTGGCAGCTTGATGTAAGTATCCTATACATGTTTTCATTGAAACTATACAAAGCAAGTCAAACCAGTTTCATGTAAAATATAGAACATGTTAACAAGACATGTGTGAATAGACAGTGGAAGTTTGATGTAAGTATCCTATACATGTTTTCATTAAAACTATGCATCGACCAACCTGAAATTTGACACCACGATTTGGTTTCAGGACCAAAGCACTTTCAACTATACAACGTGAGGATGGAACGAAGAGAATATAGATGGGCATTCTCTCCTGATGAAAATATGAAGGAATGATTTAGTAAATTATCAAAGTATACCATCTACGTACATGACACGTATCACAAAGCAACTCAGAGAGTCATGGACGCAATCAACATAACCATATGTTGTACGCAATAACAACTCAAAATATTCAAATGGAAACAAAGGTAGTCGTTCTCATGTCCGGGGACGTCTAGACATTTAAGTGCCCAGGGAAGAACAGGATGGTTGAGGGACATTTTAAGTGCGAAAGCAAGAAGAGGGAGGTCGAGGAACATATAAAGTGCCAAAGGCAGGAACAGGATGCTTGAGGGACATTTCAGTGCCCAAGAAGAACAGGATGGTTATGGGACATTTAACGATTACTAAATGATTACGCTTTACCTTTGGTCTAAGAACGAAATCCTCCGTCGACTTACTCTCTTTTGAGAATTCAGATCGCATGCGTTGTATCTGGATGAATACGAACAGTAAAAATTGGCAACTTGAGTGGTGAAGAAAAGTTTTGTATTGAATAATTATGCACCTCAAAATCGGGATGATCTCCGGATATTCTTGCTTGAAAATATATCGTTTCCTCAGATGATTCATTTAATAAGAATATTCTTTGATGCCTGTAAACAAACACATACGTACCACCACATACACACACGTAAAATCAAGTAAAGTCAAGTAAACAAAGTTCATACGATGCATTTCCCAGTGCAACACCAGTCCAACACAGCCAGGATTTGTTACATAACAAAGGCAACCTATACAATGAAAGAACACGGATGAAACTAAAGAGAAATGACGATGATTTTAAAGACATTAATATAATACCTGTACTCAGTCTTCGGCTCGGGTTCAACAGCTGAGCCTCGAAGTAACACCTCATAACATTTGTTGTTATCTGGTTCAAAAACTTCAATCACACTAAACATGTAAAAAACAGATTAATCATTTCTCAAAGTGTTTATATCAAAGTCCTTAACTGTATGCATACGAACATCGAGGTTTCTATCGTTACCTTTCATAAGTGTCTTTGAGCTTTGGAATGAAGGCAACTTTCACCATGACAGCCTTTGAAAATCGTGTAGAAAAAACATTCAACAGTTGCATTCTTAATCAACTACATTCCTTTACATAGAAGTACGTAAAGTCATTACATACCATGCCAGGTTTAACTATGAATTTATTAGGCGCGACTGTAAATACATCCAGATGTTTGGGTACGGTCAGTTCCACATGAGCACTGATGTTACCAGCATTAGTGAAGGGAAATTCTCGCGTGACTTTTTTGCCGACCGACGTTGATAGACACATCGCCATCTGATGAAATAAGAATATATTAAGTGCCATTTTCTTTGCTCATACAAACATGTTGCTCTTTGATGAAATGATTTTAACACACTACGGTAGAAATTGCCATGTAAAACTTGCCTGAAATGCCACTGGTATTTTGATGTTAGTAAAGCCCATTGCAACAGAAAGTTGAACATTCCCCAGTATTTTAGCAACTTTTTCTGTGTCAAGTTGGATATTTACACCCGCACTTACAACAACAGGATCATCCGACTTCTCAACTATAAAATAAACGGATATCTGTTATTTAAGAAATAAGATGTTTAGTGTGTTTACACAAAATTATACAAACCGAGGAGACCTTTAGGAGAACTAGAGAGCAAATAAGTGCAGGTTTACACCTGCTCGACAGTTTCTCAAACGTCTCCGAAGTTTTCATAAGCCATTATAAAATAAACACAATGAAACGCGTGCGGTGATTGGTCTAGAGCTGTGTCTGCATTAGCCTGTGCAAAACACGTATGAGCTCAACCAATCAAATCAATCAAAACAATCAATCAGTCAAAGAGAATTTGCAAATCGATCATGAATACATTTTAGAGAAAAAATTAAAATGTTTGTCTTTTTCGCATTATTTTATTTTATAAAAGAAATAAAGGATGTTTTTCATGTTTGCAAACCTCGGAGACGTTTGTGAGAACTCTCGAGCATGTGCAACCCTCGACCTTCGGTCTCGGGCTTGCACTGATCTCCTCTCTAGTTCTCCCAAAGGTCTCCTCGGTTTGCATGAGCCTGCGCAAACACAGTAAATATCTTTTGCTTATTAAATGCTTGAAAAAAGTCAAATGGGTATAAAGACCAGTGCCTACACTCACAATGATGATTCTTTCCACAAACTTCAATCCAAATGACAACTGATTCAGTTTTCATACTCTAAATTGTACAGAATTTGAAAAACACAGTAAAAACTCAGGATACTATACAATACCAATGGTGTTTTCATACTCTAAATTGTACAGAATTTGAAAAACACAGTAAAAACTCAGGATACTATACAATACCAATGGTGTTTAATGGCACACCTACCATCTAAGATCAAGGTTAAGGACTTACCATATTATTGAAAGCAGGTGCAAGGCATTTCAATGTCGTATTTTCCAGCACAAGATCAGAGATGTTGTCGGAAGAGTTGGCTTTAGAGAACGTGAATAATCCAGGGTAAGAGTTCTGCAACAACAAAGGATACAAGAAGTAAAAAACTGGTGATCCAAGGATAGCACAAAGTTTAAAAAACACTGCCTTTAAACTCGTTATTTGAAGCAATCTTAAATGTTTCATATATTTATTTCATTTCATCATTAGCTCACATTGAATTTTGATTCATGCATCATGAGGTGAAAATCCATTGATTTCATGGAAAAGAAAACACGTTGTCAATAAAACCTTGCGCAACGCGATTTCTGCGCAAGCGCACTGCTTTCTAAACTATTGAAGATACGGCGATGATTTTTAACTCATCTTAAAGCTCTCGTCGAGCTCTTTGCAATGAGCTAAAAATCATTACCGTAAGCCTAATACTTAAGATAGCTATGCGCATGCGCAAGGCGACTTATGCGATGAATTTACACTTTCTATGATATATCCTACTTATCAATCTTGTTAAAATGTAGTGCCAAGTGGGGGGCAAGAAAACTGAACAATAATCGGGCACAGAACACGGTCTAGGTTTACGTGCAAGCAATTTTTCTTTTTCTAACGGTGTAATGTCTATGGTTGTGCCACAGAACAGATATCTTAACAGAAGGTCCACTCGTGTCGGAACCTTTGATGTTCATGTCCTCTACTTTCTGAAGGAAATTCTAAGGAGACACGCCTTCCAGCAAGATACTTCCGCTAGATCGCAATAGAAAATATAGATGTTTTTACAAATATATCGTTTTGCACTACAAAAGCATGGAGCCTTCGAGATTGATAACATTTTGTAAAAATTTCGGCAAACTTTTGCTTTAAACGTGAATTATTAGTAAAATAGTATTCTCGTGCAATACTATTCCATAATGATTTTGTGAAAGTATCTTGCTGGGAAGTCACGCATGCGCAATGAAAAAATGCGCCACGATTTTAGCCGAGTGGTCCTTCTGTTAGATGTCTATTCTGTGGTTGTGCATTGCCTACTTTGCCTGCTTGTATTTACTCCATTTTATGAATTCTACTTACGGATGAACATATTCGCATTTTTAAAGGCACAGTGGACATTCCTTTGTTGACGATCTTAAATGGCTTCAATCTGTTACAATCGTGATGTACTTCACCAAAATCCAACACTTGCATTTCATCGGCAATGATCTAAAATAAAATCGTGACAAGAAAAGGGTAATTCAATCACAACACACCCGAAGTACATCATGTATGATCAAACTGTCGAAATACCTCGAGTTTTGGCTCTTCGGAAAAACCTTGCAAGCTAACAAATGACACGGAGGCCTCGTCGTCAGCACCAACAGGAGTGGATGAAATCTTCATATCGGCCATGCAGGCACCGGCAGTAACACATACGAAATCGATCTGAAATGTTACATGACGTATAGCATAACGTATTACATGTTTGTAAATGTAGATCATCCAGGTCGGTATAGTCCTGAGAAGGACTGTTTTTGTTGTTGTTGACTTACGTTTCGACAACCTTAGCGGTAGTCATCTTCAGAGTCAAAATGATGATGACTCTATACCAACCTGGACAATCTACATTTAAAAACATGTAACGATACTCCCGGGTTCAAACCATTCACTTTAGTATGAATTATTGTAATGAAAACACCAGTGATTGGAGTAAAAAAACAACAGCAGCAACATGGATATTCTGTGCAACGTCGTAGCCAGCCCACAAGTTTGGTCGTGCTATGTATGTATATATTTAGGTGTTTACTGACAGTAAGAAAAGACTTCTAAGGAAAAGAATATTGCTAATGATGTGAAATTAAAATAGCGCGATCATTTGTGCGGCTACGTCACTGATTCTGTGAATCTTACTTTAATATTTTCCGTCAACTTTGGTCCAACCATTATTCTTGATTGTGCGGAGAATGGACATTGTTCGGAAGGCACCTGAATTTTAAAATTTAAAAATCGAAATCCGTTTACACTATAATGTCAATAAAACACATTCCCAAAGTCATTTGTAACATGCCTAACCGTAACTGATCTTCCATCTTTAACCACTAGTCTCTCTCTAACCTACCTTTACACCATTGACAATACAAGAGATTATCTCGGAAGTGCATCGTATCCATCTTAACGTTGGATTATAAACAGGAAGATCAATTTGCGCCGAGATGCCAACGCACAGAACACCAGGGAAATCAAGTTGAGGAGGAATGACCATTTGTATTTGACAATTTGTCCTTTCTGTTCTCCTGTTTACTACTTCACCCTATGCAAAACAAAAGATAAATGGGAAAAAAAATTCTAGGATTATATAATATTTAGAGTGATACCTATCTCAAGTGAGCCCTTAAAAACGCAGTTAACTTTTTATCGTCTAAGAAAACTCAACCTTAAAATTTAATGTACCCTCCCCTCCCCCCCATTTAAGCTTTATTTATAAAGTACGGCAATTTCCTACGTACCTGACTATTTGTTGACGACCTCACAATCTTCGTGTGCGCATCGACTTCATGATGTATATTACCAGCGACTGAAGTCTTGGAGATGCCTGAATATTTGGACGCAACAATGGCTTCTTGAAAATTTTGTGAACCCGAATGCTGACGAAGATATTGTTCATTATTACAATCATTGTTACCAACGGGAAAATCGTCGACTGCATAATTATCTTTCATTCGTCCGGGTTCAAAGACAGGATAGTTCTGGACATAAATATTGCCAGAAGATTGACCACTGTGAAAACCGGAATTCGATGGGACGTATGTAAATGGCGGCTCACTTAGTACGGGCGAACTGTATCCTTGTCTCGTCAGATCTTCAGAGGGATGGACATTCCATAACTTGTTGGAAGAAAATTGTGTATGAATGTGGGATTTCTGTCTCCTGTGGTTACACTAGCGTTGGTTATTCCCAATAAAGCGGGATGACTGTTCATGTGATCTAATCGTTTTCCTTGTGTTTGAAGCATTTCAGCGCTTGGCACCTGATTCATTTGGGCTATTGGCAGACTCGATGTTGAAACTGACCGGCCACTTCTTCCATAAAATTCTTGTGAATGCTGGTAATTGTACCCCAATTGCTGGTTGTATGTGGATATGGAGGGATTGATCAAATATCGAGGTTCAACTGGAGGATTCCTATCCAAAGGATGGGGCATTTTGATTTGAGAAGGACAGCCTTGGATTGTGATGGGATAAGATCCTTGTAAAGTTGAGGATACATTAGAGTGATGTGGCTGATTGGATGTCCTACAAGTTAGCGGCTGATTGTTATTATACCCATTTGCTAGTTGTTGATAGGATGTAGACGGAATACCATGCTGATTGAACGTGAGTGGAGTAACACTTCCGGTTAAGGTGGTTAAAGGTGCATCGACAACCATACGAGGAGTAAGATTGTGAATGTTCACCATGTGTAATGGTGGAGTTGATGACGCTACAATTGATGGTGGAGGTACTGTCCTTGATTGAAACGATGAGATGGAAGATAATGTTACTGTGACTTGACTAACAGAGTTTGTTGTTGGAACTGAATGTTTAGTCGGTATAGGAAGAGCAGTGCTTGACTCTTTCGTGTTTGATACAACACAAGTGTTCGAGTTAGAAATGGAGTGAACCCCAACATCCGATGCGGATATAGTGACTGCCATTTCCGGAGGGTGTTTTTCACTGTTATCCTCGATAGATTTGTCATTACTTTTTGGTGATGACGTATCCAAAGGTGGAGAAGACATAGAGGACATGCTACGAAACTTTGGCTCGGTCGGAGATATTTCACAGCTAGTGTCACTATGATAAAATGCAAGTGCACCATCACTATCTCTTGTTTTGTCTGTAAGATTTTTTGATCCATCATTTGAGTCCATCTCAGAAACATCAGGTAAAGGTTGCCTCTTCTTTTGGATAACATCATTTTGAGAAGCTCCTTTACTTTGAAGAAATTGAACAAGAACCTTGTATATTTCATTTTCGTCTTCAACATTTGCCATGGCTAACGTTTTCGAAAGAGATTTGAGGTCTTTAGTGGACATTTCGGCAAGTTTTGAGCCTTCACTTGAATTGCAAAACTTCAAAGCAGCCAAAGCAGAGTTATTCAATTCAACACCATAAGTTTTTGAAAGTGAAACATGAGCATTTTGATTTGTGGACGGTCGTCGTCGAGGTTTTGAGGTTCTTTTTTGAACATTTGAAGAAGCATTTTCATCTTTCTTATTTTCAATGAAAATTTTTCCTGTTTTCGATGTTTCCACGGCAACGTTATGTTCCCGCTCTTCTTCATTCTTCTTTACATCGGCCTCGGCTCCGTAAGGCGATGACCTAACCGTCATGAAATCGTGTGTCCCCTCCTCAGAATGGTCGGGTGTCCCAGTTTTTTCTCTAGTTTCATCGGGGTTCTGCGGGGTAATGACACTGTTGCCGCCTTCAGGCAACGAAGGTCTATACAAAGGTTTTGGTCGTTGGACAGGAGGAGATACAGCCAAACTTTGCGTTTCGTTAAAACGAGGCTGAAAAAGAAAAATACAAAAAATGATGTTTACATTAGCGCGGAGATTTCGCTGACAAACAAATTGAGGGGAGAGATCAATGACAGCAAACTTTCGAAAAATGTTATAAATGAATGAGGAATTGACTTCAATGCTTCAACGAATGATGAAAAAGCAGAGATATGAAAAATACCACTCGCTTTAAGATAGAAAGATTCTATCGATGAAGAACAAATTTCATTCTCAATATACGTCAAAAGTAAGCAAAACCCTAAGAGAAATCCCCGTCTTCAATCCATTGTTCACGTGCAAAGATTTTTGTCCCATCAAGAAGGATGGACTATGTAGTGATCACTGATTGAAAGAAGTGTTTGATCCAGATGGTCACGAAAATCCCACCCACGATTACGATGACAAGTCAGATCACAAAAGTAGAATGAACGACGTTTACACATTGGAAATATCCTTACCGTATGAGAATGAGTAAGCTATAGTTAGTACGTAAACATCCAGCAATGACGTAACGATAGAAAATATACCCCAAAATTACCCTTGGCTTGTTTCCATTATCTTCCCCTAGTCGTCCCAGTTCTTCAGTTTTTGCCGCAAAGAAATCACCAAATGATATTCTAACTTCTCCTTTGTTATCAGGATCGTTAATACCGACCACCGATAGAGATCTACGTCCATGATCATTGGGTAGAATGTAAGAGGTGAAGGAGATGCCATCTTCGATCATCGCGTCCTGGTCAAGAAATAACTTTAAAAAAACCCCGCACTTCTTTATTAAAAAATGTCTTGAGCGACAGTATAAACAATATCAACACTACAGGATACTGACAACATCAACCTGTTTATCAAATTGATGACTTTCTTCGAACTTTTTCTGATCTTCATCGAGAAGCTTAGCAGCATCCTCTATAGAAACAAATAAATATATATGAGTAAAATTCCACGTACATAAATAAACATACATGTACATACATGTACATAGATAACAAGGAACGTCGAAGATTTACCCGAAGACATGAATTCGCCCGCTTCAAAATCATTTCCAAAAAGAGCACCACTTTCTACAAAAACAACAGTATACGTAGCTATTGATGTGATACGTATAATCACAAACAAATTCATTTTAAAAATAAAAAAGTACCTTCCCAAACAGTTTTCCCATCAAGTGGGCCCTGAAACTACACAATAAGAAAATATAGAATGTAGGTTTTGTGTACATAAGAAGGTACAAAATGCCGAAAAAGCATTAATCGTAAGTCGTAATATTACTTATAAAGAAGATAGCATCATGAGATGTTGAAACACGTCTGTTTTTATTTAAAACTTATCATCTTTATAAAATGTGCACAATAAGAAAAATAGTAAAGAACCACGTTCAAATATAAAAATGAACATAAAACTTCCAAGTCAAACAGATGTAAAGTTTGGGCATGATGTAATAAATACTACGTACTAAGTTATAATTTAAAGATGTCTAATTAACGATGCCAGATTTTGTAAGAGAGCTACGTATATACAAAATATTGCACTGTCAGTTTCGCCATCTCGAATCTGTCTATACATGTCATTTTTAATACATTAACAGCCACATGTGTTGTGTGTTTATTTGCTTGTGTTTAGTATACCTCATAAAGACTGCCATCAAAGGGATTACGAGCTTCACAACCAACACTCCAGTTGCCATTCTTCTTTGACAATGGTTTTTCATCAAATGTTGAACCCGTATATGATGGCTGCTTTGTGTCGCTGCCAAACATGTCTGTCTCCTTACCAAGAAAGTCTGTCTCTTCAGCAAACTGGTGGAATCAATTGGTGTAGACGAAGATGATGGTTTTGTCTCGTTGCTTTCAAAGCAGATTTTACCATCACTAGTCTAGAGTGGCATGATACTGTTTGCATTAAATGTGGTTGTTGTAAATATGTATGTCCTTGAATAAACTTCTATCAATTCCGGTACTTTATGATTCACTAGTACTTATAGTATTTAATATTGTGATTTTACCAGGAAGGGGTACTTTATGATTCACTAGTACTTATAGTATTTAATGTAGTGATTTTACCAGGAAGGGGTACTTTATGATTCACTAGTACTTATAGTATTTAATATAGTGATTTTACCAGGAAGGGTACTTTATGATTCACTAGTACTTATAGTATTTAATATAGTGATTTTACCAGGAAGGGGTACTTTATGATTCACTAGTACTTATAGTATTTAATGTAGTGATTTTACCAGGAAGGGTACTTTATGATTCACTAGTACTTATAGTATTTAATATAGTGATTTTACCAGGAAGGGTACTTTATGATTCACTAGTACTTATAGTATTTAATATAGTGATTTTACCAGGAAGGGGTACTTTAGGATTCACTAGTACTTATAGTATTTAATATAGTGATTTTGCCAGGAAGGGGTACTTTATGATTCACTAGTACTTATAGTATTTAATATAGTGATTTTACCAGGAAGGAGTACTTTATGATTCACTAGTGCTTACAGTATTTAATATAGTGATTTTACTGGGAAGGGGTACTTTATGATTCACTAGTACTTATAGTATTTAATATAGTGATTTTACCAGAAAGGGGTACCTTAGGATTCACTAGTACTTATAGTATTTAATATAGTGATTTTACCAGAAAGGGGTACCTTAGGATTCACTTGTACTTATAGTATTTAATATAGTGATTTTACCATGAAGGACACCTTGTACTTTTTGATAACATCAACCATAAGATAGAAAAATCAAACTGTACCAACTATCCATGGATGGTTTAGTTTACATAAGGTTTACCAAAAGACATATAAGGTTTATTATCTTACTTTAAGCAAAAAGACAAATACCTTTGATAATACATTGGAGACGTCAGGGTGTGCTCTTGGTGTTTGTAACATCAAGCTATCACCACTAAATGACCATGGACTTCGGTCAAGCTTTTCGCAGTACTCATCAACAAGATGCTTGCCATTTTCAGGAGTTTGACTTGGAGCAAAAAATTTCTCTGATAGTCTTGAAGTCAAGTTAGGTTTAACAATAGCAATATCAGATTTTTCTGAGGCAATTTTTTCTGAAGGAAGTACTTCCTCGATGGATTCGTTGTCTTTATTCAACAAGCTACAGTCATGAGATAAAGATTTACTTCCAATGAACAAAGGTATATCCAAGTAAGTTCAAATCTTACCTATCGGAGGTATTGGCTAAAACACTTTCGGGAAATGATTCCTTGCTTATAAACCTTGAACTATTGAAATTTGAGTGACAACTGCTTGTAGATCTATCACTGCAAGAATCTGGCAAATGATATTGGTCATTATACAAAACAAATAATCATGAAAATGTCCAAAAAAACAGCTTAACAAAACACTGCACCTTGCAGAGTGGCAGCTTTAAGAGCAGCAAGAACGACTTCTATGTTTTCTGACATTTTCTCCACAGGTGGCGATTGCAAGTCACTGTGAGAGAAAAATTACTAGTGCTTGTGCAAAAACTGACTGTGATAGATAGTCAACAACTCAAGCTCAACAACAATGCAAAAGATGCCTAAGACATTGACAAATGTGTTGTTGATCAATTTACATGTATGGGACAACAAAAAGTAAAAAAGCCACACAAAATAAAATCAGCCATGACCCTTCACTTCAGATACTGCAATAGCAAAGATCCTTCGTCATTTTTACTGTCATAAAACATTAAGTTAAGGCAAGAATATTAAATACCCTGTGTCCAGTTTCGGCTTTTCATCAACTCTAGACATTTGTGCTTTTCTGTTTTCCTCACCAACAGACATACTCGCTCTTGAACTCATACTGATATCAAAGTCGGAGTGAAACGACTCCAAATCACTGACATGAGACGGAAATGAAATGTCGCTGAATGCAACAGAGCCTTCAAGTTCACCATCGCTACCAGCCGAAATATTATCTCCTAAATGTTGATGTGAATGAACGGCCATCTTCATAAAGCACAAGAATAAACAGTTAAATAGGTAAACTGTCTTTAAAAGCCATGTTCAAGGTTTCACGAAACTTTTGACATCGAGGGTTTTCGTAATCACCGCCACGCGAAAACGAGGCTTCCGGGAAAAACATCAATGAAATTTGGATTTTATTCATTTGACAAGACTCAAATATTTTTGTTCGACTCATTTAAAGCAGCTTTTTGAAAACTAACTAATAGAAAAAATAGTCCCCACAATATTTTACAAATAAATAGTTTTTGATCCATTTAATAAAAAAATAATTTAAAAACTGGCACAACGTGATCATGAATGTTAATTTTTGTTAGTGGAAGCTCAACTATAATAAATCTTTTTGGTCTAATAAAAGCTGTTATAAAATATTTCCAATTGAACTATTTCTGTGTGTTATTATTAAATATTTCAATATGTGATTATTATTTATAATGGTTTCTCATTTTCTTTGTACAAGAACTTCTCGTATTCATAGATTTGGTGTTAAGATTTGTAGAAATGCAATCCCTCTTAAGGTAAGGTTGACCTTTTCAATTTTACTACAGTACATACATTAAAAAGTTGATGCAATAGATAGTTGGATTTTTTGGCAAGTATTTGCTTCACCTTTTGGCTATTAGCTTGCCATAACTGATGAAAATATAATTTTTTGTATTTGATGATTATGAACATTAGATATTATACAAGTTTATGAACCACAGCCTTGTTGACTAACATCTTTAGGTTTTTTTTCAGCAATGTACACATCATAGTCATGGTAATCGCACAATCGAACAAAAGAGTAAATCATCAGATAAATGGGGATATAGGAAAGTCGATGATGGCTTCATGAAGCATGACAAAAACACACCTGGCATCTATCATTTAGGAATAGTAAATCTTCCCAAGCAGCTGGAGAACAGCATCAACAAATACCTACAAAGTAGAAATATTCTATTAACTGAAAAAACATAAAATATTGTGTTAATTTCATTACGTAAAAATAGGTACGCTGCGTACCGAACATTTTTCCAATACATATCTTTTCATGTGATAGACTTTCCAAAAAAGCACTTGATTGAAGACGCCATACAGCTTTCAAAGCATTTGCAAAACAGAGGAAGGCCAACAGAAAGAACTTGGACAAAGTATAAAGAGGCTAAGGCCTACAGAAAGGAAGTTCAAGGTTGGCTTCGCCGTTGTCAACAGAGAAAGGACGATGCCGTAATGTACGAAAGATTTTAATTTTTTTCAGAACATGTGGATGAACAGAAGAAAGAAGCATCGAGCGAAAAGACAAACGAAGCTGTACAAGAAACTTCACAATCAACATCTGCGAATAAGAAGATCAATCATCACTTAACCAAAAAACCAAAAATTCAAGAGTACAAAACAATAAGGTATAAAAGTAGAACTAAAAATCATGTATTCACTGTCATGGTTTATGTTGCAGTGCACGCTCTGTTGAGTGAAAATCATTCTCTCCTTACATGTGTATTGTTAGATATCAGAGAAGAGAATGCGCAGCATTCATTGCCGACCGAGCTCCGGCGACTTACGGAGCGACATTAAGAGTACTGCATGAGGTAATTTATGTTTTTGTTCAATGTTGGTGAAGGTTAATGATTATATACATGCTGGTTCGGATTTCAACAAAAATTTGTCTTATTGATAGTCGTAAAACGTTAGCTTTGTCTTGAAACAACCTTTAACATCAGAACAATTTTTACTTACAAGAAAGAGAATGATTTTAGATCGCTAGAAGATGCAAAGATTTCAAACCAGAAACTATTTTGGATTTCGGATCAGGAGCTGGCACCGCCACCTGGTATATATATATATATATATTAACTCATAATTTTCATTATCCACTCTACAGAATGAAATGGTTGAACATCTGGAACCTTTGTGTAAATTGTGATTTTTATAGGGCAGCGCATAAAATCTGGAAGGATTCAATAAAGATTTATCAATGTGTCGACGTTTCGCGTGATATGAACGATATGGCCGAACAACTGTTACGAAGTAATGAAGTTTAAAGATAACGACAAAAAATTATTTTTTGCTCATTTCAAACACCGTTAACCGTAGTCATTATTTCTTTGGATAAAACAGTTAGCGCTTAAAGCTCTGCTTTTTAGCTACTTTTTGATTTTTTACTCTCGATATTCAAATACTGTGCAGCTCACACTTTTTTAGATGTAGATGGTAAAGATCACATGACTACCGCTAAGGTTGTCTGTAGGTCAGTCAACATCAACACCATCAGTCCTTCACAGGACCACACTAACCTGGACGATTTACATCTACAAAATATGTATCTCAGATAATGTAAAAATTACGTATCTGGTCGGTTTAAATTTAAATTTTAGACAATGATGGATACAGGACACCCCATTACATACCGAGAGTATATTATAAGGAGTTTCTTCCTTTCACACACAAGGTATTGTTGACTTACAGTACATATGATCTTTTCATTCATTTTATTTGTCTGTCGAATCGCTGTAAAAAATTGTATCTGAAAGTTTCACATCAATTATTTTCACAAAGAACATTGAGATGAAAACGGTTTACGCGACTGTATTTGATCAAGTTCCATTCGGACTTGAGAACCTATTTATCCATAGCTGGGTCAGTCAGGAGATCTAGATGAACTCGTATGGAAACTAGCTTGCTACTGGAAACCAAATTTTTATAATCATGAATGTTTATTATAGGTTACTTACGATGTCGTCGTTGCATCGTATTCTCTGACTGACATTCCATTTACCCGAGCAAGACAAGATATCCTCGATAACCTTTGGCGAAAAACAAATCATTTTTTGGTACGGAGGTTTCTCGCTGCTTTTCAAGGAACACGAACCCCACATCCCTCCTCCCCCCCGTTAAGGGGAAAATTACTACTGTTATTTATTACACAGGTCATTGTCGATAAAGGAAACAACGAGGGGTTTGACGTCACGATGCAAGCTAGAGACCTTGTTACTGTAAGAAAACTTTACTCTTCCCCATTCCTTTAAATTCTACCGTTCACCCCCCGTATTCTTTTAAGTTCTGCTATCGTTTATTCCCCTTATTCTATATTGTCTCCTCCATTTTTAAAGAACAATCGAAAGGCCATGTTTGGTACAGAGGACGAACAACCAAGCTTTGTTTTTTCACCTGTAAGCTTGATAATTGTTTAAACTAAACAATAACTATCACAACAATTCAGGTTTAGCTTAATGTTATAACTTATACATAATGCTACAGCCAGTGGGTGCGTAAGAGCATTCTTTACAAAAAAAAAAGCAAAACCTTTTTTCCGTTCATTTAGTGTCCCCACGATCTTGCCTGTCCCAGATTGGATGCAAACACACGTGACCATCCTTGCAACTTCGAGCAACGTGTACAGCTGTCTTATGCACAAGTATGATGTTAACAACAAATTATTTGGTTTTCACTAGACATAAAATGTTCTATGTTTATGTTTCGTCACTCATTTTGTGTAGAAGTCGACAAACTTGAAGAAATATGGTTACTTTAATGAATTGTTCTCATACGTTGTGTTGTGTAAGGGAGAACGAAATAAACAAGGTTGCCTTAGTTCTGTTATTTACTTCGTCATTTTCATTTCTGTTTAAGAATATTGTGTGTATTTCTAGATCTTAACTGGGCTCGCTTGTTGCGTCCCGTGCGTTTGCGAGAAAAACACATCATTTGCGACTATTGCAGTAAAAATGGTAAGAAGGCGCATGCGCTTGGGTTGTACACGATGTTTCGCCTGCAAGGAAGATAAAAGTTTCGTTCTTTTGTTTTAAAGGCACCTTGGAGCAAAAAATTTTAACAAAACGCAAGGACAGGTATTTTGTTTCATAAAATGCCCGTACGTATTTAACACTTATGACCAGAAATCAAACTCTTACATTTTTTGTGTCCGTCTTTTGTGCAGTGATATCTACAAATGTGTACGTCACCATGCTAAATGGGGAGATTTGTTGCCAATAGACGTCAAGAGATAGCGCAACATGAACCTAGAGAACGAGGAGAAAGCAAAATAGACAAATCAAAGGAACTAATGGTAGTTATTATGGATATTCGAAGATGTTCTTACAAAAAAAAACCAACGATTGCAAAACAAATAGGTTTTATTAATGAAACACCTTCGTAAGGCTGTATAAAACAATTGTACGTTACTCTACATTTGTGTCATACTAAAGTTGTGCTAATGACAATATGTCGTGATCCTTTTTCACTAGGGCGACTTTCTCGTCGCAACGAAACAATGTTGTATTGTCTTGAGGTGTAAAATGTGTGGAAAGTTTGTGTTGAATGTTTACGCTTTCTTTTTCTCCGGTGGCGGTTCTGTATCATCATCATCATCGCCTCCAATGGACTTCCTTTTTCTAGTTTCTCGTTTTGCTTGAACGAGATCATCAGCCTTTTCATTGACTGTCTCCAAGGATGGTTGTCTTTCATCTTCGTGTTTGGTATCTATTTTCACGTCACCTACTTCGTTGTCATGGCTATCTTTACTAGTTACAGCCACTTTGGTCGATTCATCCTCAATGGCAGTTTCATTCTCACCCTCTTTAGAAGAACTATCTATAAAGTCGTCTGTTTTATCAGCATCTCCATTTTTCTCGCCGCGTTCAATTTTCTTGTCAAAGGTATCCAGTGATTTGTCAGATAACTTTCCGTTCTCTCCACAATTTTCACCTTCTTTAACCTGTTCTTCCATTCCCACGCTAACGTCCGTGTTCAAATGACTTTTTTCAGCGTCGGTTGTACTTTCACGCTTCTTCTCCCATATCAACATCTTTTTTAACGTCGTCAATCGTGTTTGACGGTTGTCTAATATCTTTTTGAGCTGGCGTTGGTTTTTCCGATTTCTTAAACGCAAAGACCATGTAAAGTCCTGTGGATAGAGATCATGCGAAATCAGAACTTAGATATAGCATTTAGCTATAGTGGAAATTCATTTCAAAACTCACTCTGATCGCGAATTTTTCAAGGAAACTTGGTAACAACAATACAACAAAGTCAAATAGTAAACAGGCCGATCAAATAAATGAACTGAATCGAATAAACAAACACTGCTGTAAAATTATAGTCTCTATACATTCCGTACAAAACGTAACCATTTGATTGGCCAATTAACATAACTATACTGGATTATGTCAACAAGTTTACAACGCACGTACATTCCAAGCAATTGTATAAGCAATATATAAATCAAAGTTGATCATCCTGCCACGATGAGAGAAAACATATTAATGTAATGACAAGAGGGATAACCGGGGATAACAAATGATGTATTGTACTCCTCCCCCCTCCCCGTCAGCTATTGAGACAAATGTACAAATGAGATGAAGACAGAGATATGAAAGTTAGTTCTGTGTTTTTTTTTATCTGTCTTTGTTATAATTATTTCTTCTTGTTTTTGTTACTTGGGCAGTGTAAACCAAAAATGTACTATCATACACACCTGCGGCCTCCCATTCGTCTTTACTCAATGTCCCCTGCAATACATAAAACACAGTCATGTACATGAAAGTTAAATGATTAATACAAATACGGCAAAAACTAAACTCACAAAATATTTTGCTTCCCAGCATCGTCAATTTTTGCAAAGGCTTCTTTAACTTCGGTATATGCATCCTCACTTTCAGATAGCAGTTTCTCACCTGATCTAGCAGGGTATGTCTGTCAAAATAACATAGTATAACAGTATGATCTCAGAGGGTATTTAAAGATAACGTAGTACTATAGTATGATCTCAAAGGGTATTTAAGGATAACGTAGTACTATAGTATGATCTCAGAGGGTATTTAAAGATAGCGTAGTACTATAGTATGATCTCAGAGGGTATTTAAAGATAACGTAGTACTATAGTATGATCTCTGAGGGTATTTAACGATAGCGTAGTACTATAGTATGATCTCAGAGGGTATTTAAAGATAACGTAGTACTATAGTATGATCTCAGAGGGTGTTTAAAGATAACATAGTACTATAGTATGATCTCAGAGGGTATTCAAAGATAACATAGTACTATAGTATGATCTCAGAGGGTATGGCAAGATAACGTAGTACTATAGTATGATCACGTGACAAATTGTTGACAAACACATTAGAAAAAATGGATCAAAATTTAGATCTAGGAAAGTATTTTTCAACGTATATACTGACATCTAAGTCGATAAATACCATTTATTTACTGTTGTTTGAGCAAAGCAAAAAATGATTGATTTAAAATGAAACAGATCACAAAATAAGTGAAAAACATACCTCCAACGCGTTCATTCTGTTCAAAAGAAATTTATAATCTGGGTGGTTCTTATGAATTTCGAAAAATTGATGAAATCCTTGAGCAAGTTCTAAAGTCAAACCAAACTTTTCCACCATTCTTAAAAAAAAACAAAACAAATGGGATACAGAATATGAATGAAAAACATCAAAAGACAATCAATACATTGATTAAATTCAACGTTCTATCTTTTCTTTGATAGTGAGATCTTCAAACTATACAATCGTGTACAAGTTTTTAAAGGAATGAATAGTGGAAATGATAGAAAAAATGATAAAAACTTACTTTTCAAGTAAGGGAAAGTGTACAAGAAACTCTGGACAGTCGACGACTCCCTCGAGATGAAAATTATATTTATGACCAAATAACGAAAAATTCTCCTTTTCTGTGAACGAGATGTTGTAACAGCTATTTCCAAACGACATGCCTTTAGACTCGCGAAGTCTCTTGCTAAAACAAACATTTACATACTTGTTGAGTTTGAAACGAAATTTGTTGAAACACCACAACGGTAAAATTCATTTCACGTATAATCACTTACATGATTTCATTTGAACAAGGCAAGGTTCCGATAAAGAATGCGCCTGGCTTGAGTCTTTCGCAGGCATTTTCTAACATCTTTTCCGCTTGCTCCACGGACTCGAAAGCATAATGGAGGGCAAACTGACAGCTGGTCATATCAAACTCCACATTTCGATTGCGATTATTAAACTTTTCACTGATTTTTTGCTTCAAAATGGAAAACAAACATTTGGAGATCAAATGTAGTTAGTTAAAATCATGCAATGTCAAACGCAAACGAAGAAACAGTTATTAGCAAAGTGAATGAGCAGGAAAAATTTGCAGAAGAAAAAGGGATGAAAATGTATTGGACATCAAATACATTTTCATAATGACGCTGTAGCTTTCATTTGTGTCAAAGCCTTTTCCTTTAATAATACATATTCCAAAGAAAGCTATTTACAACTTAACCAATAAGATCTTACAAGTGTTGAAGAGATATCTACCTTGGTACAGTCTGCTGTGATGAACTGAGCATCAAATATCCTCTGATTTGAGTTGTATCGTCGATTGTTTCGACCATGTTTTGTATCACTATATCTGTTTTGACATTGTCTCACAGACACTTCTGCAATATCTAAAATATTTTAAAATTCTTTAAAAAAAACTTAAAGTCAAAAATAATACTCTCTGTCAGCAGAACTCCAGAAATGAAAATAAAATATGTAAAGGAAAGGAAAACGAAACAACTAACCTGCACAAACCAGATTTGATATTCTGGCCTTTTGCCATTTTAACAGATCTCCACCTTTACCACAAGCAAGATCCAATACAGAAAGCTTATGGTAAGCATTTCTACAAAAACAAGAAATATTTAAAGTTACCTAAGTGAAGAAAAACATTCAACATTTTGAAATCCCAGTTGAACTTTATCTAACTGAAAGATTATGTAAACCTTTTGTACTTTTCTACGAATTCATTGATCAAGACACTTTTCACCCAGTTATTGAAATTTCTGAGATAAAAAATTGGTGAGGTTTTTCTCTCCTCACGAGTGTTCTCTTTGTGTTCATTATAATGTTTTGCAACTGTCGCACCATGACCTTCCTTTAAGTATAAAAATTAACATCTGATACAGTTGAGATATTTTAGGGGATTTTATGCTATTCATTTCAAAGGAAATCAATGAACACTGTTTTACTACTACAGGCTTTTGAATTCAGATCTGAAATCCGATGATGTACAAGACATTCCTTATAATGAGGCATTTTGATGCAAGGTATATATTAGACCAAAAGTTGGGATTAGAAATTAATGTCTATCTAAATAGTAATTCAATAAAAAATCATCTTACTTTTGTTGATCCCAGGTTTTCTTCTGACTTTTCCTTGGTTGGCTTTTCTGTATTGTTAAAAAAATAGTCGTGAAGAAACAATAATTTTAAAGGGACAATTTATTCAATTTTATCGCAACATGCCTTCAGTATATTCCATGTTTGATGGCATTACATCATTATTGTGTTCTTTTTCCTCCTTAACCTCTCCTTAAATGGAAAACAATTTATTCATATTCACATTTTTGTCAATTCAGAGGCCTGTTACTGATAAACAAAGATGATAAATGGCTTTAGCTGAGCAAAAAGTTTAAATGCACTAAAATCAAAGCTTTGTTCACATATATTCAAAATCAAATGAGAGAGTAATTCATCATTTTTGTTAATATTTTTGAAAACAAAAGCTTTGAGAAATGTCTTAAGAGCTGTTTATACTGGGCTATTTTCCCTGCATTTCATCATTGTTTGTGAACATTTCCATTTTGTCTTCTTTTACATTGAGAATTTAAAACATTAAAGGAAATGCTAGAAAAATGATTTAGTTTATATAAGATCTTATGAAACACAAGTATAAACATCCTGTACAGGAAGAATTGTGTGTTTAAGTGAAGAATAACCGAGTATCGGAAGCCATTAATTTTAAAGTATAATCTTAAGCTTCACCAGCAATGATTACACCACACACATAAAGTAGAGAATTTTTATTCCATACCAGCAGTATTAGTTTCCTCGACTGACTGTTCATTGCCATTGGCCACTGATGAATCTAAAACACAACATAAGTATGTGAAATAAAATAAAGTATGTTCATCAAACTGTTTGCCATGTTTGAAATGTTCTCATAGAAGAAAGTAGGACCACAAATTCTTAAGGAGAAAATTGCTTTCTTTTTTCTTCCTAGTGTTCACTTTACTCTTTTTTAGTAGAAATTTGGGTTTTATTGTGCTAGTCAGTAGTCACTACTGGAGTGCACTTAGTAAAAAACTATAAACTAAAAGGAAAACAATTAGACGAACAATGCACATATGTGGTAAGCTATCGGTTCCCAAAGGATTTTATTTTCATGTGCATCATAAATAGACTCGTCTTCGTATTTCAAGAAATTCGTTCATCACCACAGTCCACAGCCACGTTATTAGAAATTGAAACTACGGTTTATTCAAAGAAAAGTTCATTCATTTAGGAATGATTTAATTATTTGATAAAGATACCCTTCTCCTCTTTATTCTCCATAAGTGTCGTTGCTTTCATACCATCACCAGCCTTCGAAAAATGTTCCATTTCTGCAGTAGTTCCCGGCCATGTTTCTAAATTTTTCTCGTCGGCCATTTTGATTATGGAAACGTGATGTTTTTCTCCCATAGTGCCCTTCTGGCGCACGAAAACCACTGAACTATATATTCGATGGAGCTGAATGATGAAAACTGAAAGATGACTTGTTGACTATATATTTTAATGGTAAACATTATTAATGTAAGAATTAAAAAACAAGAATATAAAAACTTAATACAAATGTTAGATATAAAAGTGTATTGTAGAATATCTATTCGCGTCGTTATAATTATCAGTTCTAGGAACACATAAATTTAAAAGGTAAAAAACAAAACAAGCCACACTGGCAATCATAAATGATAAATAGGAGAATAATGTGCAAAATAAAGTGGTCAAACTTATCAGGAAATTCGTTACAGTGAATACAAAATTAATAAAAATCATTCATTTCTTATGACATGCTTAACAAGAGATAAGACTTTTTCAGCATTTGATAATGCGTTGTTGGCATCTGATTCAGTGAACATGGCTGTAGGAGGAGTTGAAATAACCCATCTTCTGTACTGAGGATAGCGTGTGTTGATGTAAAAACTTCGATTCTGAAAAACCATAACCAAAAAGGGGATCTCATTGAATTGTGCGTCGATCTGAGCAGCACGGTATGCCATTCCCATAACATCGTGAACTTCTAAATCACTTCGTTTTAGGCGACCTTTGAAGAACATAAGAGCTTTTAATGCTTTTTCCACAGCTTGTTGAGAATGGAAACAGGACAGAGCAAAAAATGTGTCTTCGTTGATAGATAGAACTCTAGCTGCATTTAAATCTACTTCAGACTGTTGCATCCAAACTTTTGCCTCGTCAGGATTAGATGGTTCATATTCATCATCACCAGAATGATGGGATTGTCCACCATAGAAATCCCTATGTGTATATGATTGTTCATGCTTACCATCTCCCGAAGGACGCCCGGAGTGATGAAAATTTTGTCTTGACCTCCCTCTCTCACGTTGCTTTGACCTCCAAGTCTCTCGATGAAAGAAATCGTACCAATATCCATACGGTGAACGATGTTGAGACGACTTTTGTGGGCCATGTCGAGAGTTGTCAGCCTCAGGCCCCTGATAGCCAGGAATTCCTCCCTTTTCCAAACGCTCTACTTCATTCAGTAAGAATTGTGTAACCTGAGTAGCCAATTCATTGCGATCAGGATTCTTGTCAGGATGCCACTGCCGGATCAGACGTTTGATGGCTGTTTTCCTCTCCGATTCTGGTAGTTTCCATATTTCGGCCAGAGCTTCTGCAACCTAGTTAAGAAAACAATCACTTAAGAAATATGATTTTCTATTCATCACAATTTTATTCATCTTACTTCTCTTTTAGCTTCTTCCAATGTAATATTTGATTTAGTATCATTTGCTGTGTTATCAAAAGATTCTCCTGACAAATTTTCATAAAGCATAATCTCCATTTCAACATTTCCCGTCGGTCGATCAACATTTTCCTGCTCATGGTCATTTGTACTCTCCAGTTGTTTACGATCAAACTTGAAAAGCTTCAATTTGCTGACTTCAATTGGTTCGTCATTTCCAATATCAATTTTATACTTACTATTTAACTGTAGCCTTCCATCACCTAAATATGACAGTTTACAAAAAAATTAAATAAAAAAACGAATGTGTTCATTGAAGACTTAGTCCAATACTTTAATACAATTACAACATCAAGCCAAATAACACCAATAGCCTCAATTACATTTTAAATTATACAATGATCGATGAAAAGTATGTGTAAGATACTGATTGAAAACAAGGATGTTTCCAGTTTTAGCGCTATTTTCCTGGCGTAATAAAGAAAACGCAATTATACGTTTAAGAGCTATATTTTCAATTTAATCTAGCTTAAGTCTGCCTCAAATATTTGGATTATAGGGTACAAAAAAGCCCAAGTCAACCACCTTATAAAAAGGATTTTGGATTCTTTACCTTGCTGTGACTGTTCAATAATCTTTGCGAATATATAAACAGAATCGTTCACCTCGCTCTCATCTTGTACCTCATAACCAACAAATTCGCCTTCACGCAAAACAAACCTCACATCATTCTTCAAAAGATAGTGAAGTTCCACAGGAATTACATTTCCAAGCGGTGGAAGACTAGAAAGAGCAGAGATAGTACGCGGTATGCGTGCATCGTCCAATGTTCTCGAGAGGTCACTGACACTGCGGGCATCAAGAAGCATCATAAGATAACGCCAAATTTTTTCTTTTAAATAATTACCAGTGATGGAAGATACAAATGAGCTTAATCGTTCGTGCAATACACTTGAATTGACGTCACCCCCATGTTTGATAAGAATACGAAATCCAAATTCATTCGGTTGACAGAAACAGGAAACCTCTAAATTGCTTCCAGTAATCACCTCATTTGTCTGTACCTTCATTAGACGTAAAGCAATATTCTGCATACACACAAATTCCACGCTGCTTTCCAACTTTCTCAGTTCCTTTTCCACTTCTGGAGGTATCTTATCTTTCTCTTGCTGGTATTTATAAAGCCGTATGAGCTCTTCACTAAACTCTCGTGAAACTAGAAGTTGTCGGTAATGATTGATAAAGTCACAACTATCAAGGACGCAGGTTCTGTCTGCACATGCAGGACTTAATTCTTCTTGTACAATAGAGCTTAATTTTCGAACTTGCAAATGACGAGGGAGGAGTTGAACCAATTTCTCAGGACTTTCATGATCTTTCATGGTCAAATCAATCAGCAATTCTCTAGAAAAATCAAGGAGTCGCTCCTTTCTTTCCATGGTGTCATTTACGAAAACTGTGGTGGATCGTAGCAGATATTTGCCTTCTGTTGGCAAGTAAAGATCTTCTACATTAGCAAGAGGATTGGCATCACTTTTATTTTGAAGCCTCTTCAAACGAATAAACAAGCCTTTAGTGGAAGAGATTGCAGCTGAATTCTCATTCGGATGCATTTGATTTTCCTCACAACTCATCTTTATCATTCGAAGAACTGATACATACTGCTGAGGTGAAGGATGTTCTTTAGCTCCAAGACCTTTTAAAAAATGCTCAAAGTGCTGCAGGTGACGTGGAACTTTAAACAAATAGGGTTTAAGATCATGCCAAACATTCTCAAAAGCAAGCTGGTTACCGCGCACAAACGTGTTCTTGTCAACTAAAATAACTGAAAAATCACGAAGAGCATTGCAGCAACGTTTAAAATCGTCAGTGGAGCGCTTCCAAGGTTCAGGACATAAATTCTTGAAAAAGCTATAGATATTTGTCATCACATTTTCCAGAGAGTTGAACAAAGTCTCCGATATTTCTTTATTTGTTGAACTTGAAAAGCGACCAGAAACATTCTTGAGATGAGACACAACAAATTCATAAGGAGGATTGGAACACAAACCAAGATTCTTTGCCACATTATTATGACCATAAGGTAATGCCGACGATGCAATAACCGATGCACTTGACCAAGTTAACAATGAATGGTGTTCAGGTACGGAACGATTGTAACATGTCAAAAGTGTTTGGATGTGTGCAGGATACATATGAAGATATACCTTTGGTGTAACTGCAGTAGCAACAAAACTGATGTTAGAGATGTTGGAGAGAAAATGTGGCTAATGCAAACTTTTACTTTGAAATAAATGTGAAACAAGAATGTTTGACTTTCCAAGAATTTCCACTCCCTCAAGCGAAGTTCGATCTGACACATTGCGAGCTCTTTCTTGCAACTGGTTGGCGTAACTAGCAAAATGTTCTTTAGTAACCACGTTCTGCAAGCCAATATCCACAAGGAAATTTCTCCATTCTAGTAAATCAAACGGTCTGGAGGGGAATCTGTCTTCAGGAACAAAATTCTTGAAAACTATGTTTTCTGGTTCGTAGAAATAATTTGCTAGATGTAAAACACCTTTGCGATCCGGAATCAATGGTAACGTTTTTAAGAGCGCCAATAACATTTTCCCACTATTGCCGTAAATAAGACGTTCTTTTATAAATCTCAAATGGTTAATTCTTCCTTGTTCAGTCAAATATTGGAAATGCTTTAACACGATATCACGGTAAAATTCTACAGATGAAGCCGTCTTTACACCAATATATCGGTACAATTCTCCTAACTTTGGAGCGGATTGTAAAGTAATAATGTGCGCTACCTGCGATAAAACATCAAGGTTATCTTTAGGAAAATCTTCGGGTATTTCAAACACTGTACAATTTTCAGAAAGAGATGTGTATGTTCCATCAATAGTCCGGTAGAATGGAAGATTACGTAGAGTCGAGGTTTGCAAATTAGGTAAATCGGTTTGAAAAAATACAAGCAATCGTTCAATTTCACCATCACTTAACGGGATTTTATTGCTTTTATTAACATATGTAGACAATAGTCCAAGTACATCTTTTGTCGATTGAACTAGAGCAAGATAATGTCGGCAAACAGCAACGATTCGTTTTTCTCGCGTTGTAAACACTGAATCAATTATGGATTTATCGAACTGTGGACAACCCAGCTTTACTAAAATACTTCGTATGACGCTGTCTGAGAATGAATCAGGACTGAGCTCACTGTTTACATTCAAAACGGTTTTTCCTTGGGAAAGAGGAGCAAGACAACCATTTGTCGTTGGAATGACGTGCCAACTTCTTATGCATTCAAGAGTGTGACAATTTACTTTATTCGAAACCTTTTTATCTTTGACTTCGTTAACAATAAATTTCCAAAGCAACACCAGCCATTCTTTTTTAGGATGTTCGTTGTTGCTTTCATCTGGTTTCCATGGCTGATGCACGATAGAATGGATCCAAGAAGACGGATAAAGCCTTTCACGATATTGAGCAAGGTCTGACAAATGAAACTCACGTAACACGTCATGACATTTGTTTAGATAAATTGAGTAAAAGCTTTGCAGTAAACTGGTCACAAACAGATTGGACTGAAAAGATACGAGGTCGCTGAACTTGCTGCAAAACACCGGCATATTTTGATCAAAACAACGAAGGAAGCCATCTTTCGTGAGAAGCAAAGGTATTCTGTGAAGATTTTCAAAATATCCATCTTCATTTTGACTTG